TGAAGCCCCGCCCCCGTCGGGCTCACCTGAGCGCCTGCACCAGGTTGAGGTCGGTGAACTCGTGCAGGTCCACGAAGGCGTGGAGCACGCCCAGGTTAAACTCCTCCCTGGGGGCGGGGCCGGGCTGTCAATCACCCTGGCCACGCCCACCCATCAATCACCCATTGAGCAGCCCGGTCCAGCCCCTGTCAATCACCCTGGCCACGCCCACCCATCCATCACCCATTGACCAGCCCGGTCCAGCCCCTGTCAATCACCCCTGGCCACGCCCACCCCCTGTCAATCACCCCTGGCCACGCCCATCCCCTGTCAATCACCCATTGACCAGCCCAGTCCAGCCCCTGTCAATCACCCCTGGCCACGCCCACCCCTGTCAATCACCCATTGACCAGCCCGGGCCAGCACATGTCAATCACCCCTGGCCACGCCCACCCATCAATCACCCATTGACCAGTTCATTCCAGCCCCTGTCAATCATTCCTGGCCACGCCCATGGGTTGGAATAAGCCCCGCCCCCCGGCTGTCAATCATTGCTTCCCTCAGTCCCTTCCAGTGCTCCCAGTTCATCCCAGTCCCCCTTTAACTCCTCCCAGTCCCTCCCAGTTCCCTCCCAGTGCTCCCAGTGCCCCTTTAACCATTCCCAGTGCTCCCAGTCCATCCCAGTCCCTCCCAGTCCCCCCCAGTCCCTCCCAGTCCCTCCCAGTCCATCCCAGTTCCCTCCCAGTTTATCCCAGTTCCCTCCCAGTCCATCCCAGTCAATCCCAGTTCCCTCCCAGTCAATCCCAGTTTATCCCAGTCCCTCCCAGTTCCCCTTTAACCCCTCCCAGTCCCTCCCAATCCTGTCCCAGTCCCTCCCAGTCCCCCCCAGTCCCTCCCAGTCCATCCCAGTCCCTCCCAGTGTGTCCCAGTGCTCCCAGTTTGGTTCCCCGTCCCTCCCAGTGTGTCCCAGTGCTCCCAGTTTGGTTCCCCGTCCCTCCCAGTGTGTCCCAGTGCTCCCAGTTTGGTTCCCAGTGTGTCCCAGTGTGTCCCAGTGCTCCCAGTTTGGTTCCCAGTCCGTCCCAGTGCTCCCAGTTTGGTTCCCAGTGTGTCCCAGTGCTCCCAGTTTGGTTCCCAGTCCGTCCCAGTGCTCCCAGTTTGGTTCCCCGTCCCTCCCAGTCCGTCCCAGTGCTCCCAGTTTGGCTCCCAGTCCCTCCCAGTCCCTCCCAGTCCCTCCCAGTCCGTCCCAGTGCTCCCAGTTTGGCTCCCCGTCCCTCCCAGTCCGTCCCAGTGCTCCCAGTTTGGCTCCCAGTCCGTCCCAGTGCTCCCAGTTTGGTTCCCAGTGCTCCCAGTTTGGCACCTCTCCCCCAGGTAGTCTCCGATGGCCGTTTTGTTCAGCCCCTCGCCCTTGTAGAGGAAGCGGGCGATGTCCTCGGCCGTGTGCCGCAGCAGCTCCTGCTCCACCAGGAACTGGATCCCCTGCGCAATTCCCGGAATTCCCGGAATTCCCAAAAATTCCCGCGCAAAAAAACCCCAAATTCCCCGTTTTTACAGCGAAAATCAGCCAAAATTCGCTTTTTTTACATTGAAAAATGGGTCAAAATTCACATTTTTAACCCTCAAACTTCCCAAATTCCCACATTCCCAAAATTCTGAAAATTCCCAAAAATTCCCAGCCCAGATCCCAAAAATTCCCACACAAAAAACCCCAAAATTCCCCGTTTTTACAGCGAAAATCAGCCAAAATTCGCTTTTTTTACACTGAAAATTCACATTTTTAACCCTCAAACTTCCCAAATTCCCACATTCCCAAAATTCTGAAAATTCCCAAAAATTCCCGGCCCAGATCCCAAAAATTCCCACACAGAAAACCCAAAATTCCCCATTTTTGCAGCAAAAATCAGCCAAAATTCGCTTTTTTTACACTGAAAATTCACGTTTTTAACCCTCAAACTTCCCAAATCCCCACATTCCCGAAATTCCCTGAAATTCCCCAAAATTCCCCAAAATTCCCAGCCCCCAAATCCCAAAACTTCACCCAAAATTTCCCACAAATTTTACAAATTCCCCAAAAATCCACAAATTTCCCCCCAAAATTCCCCCAAATTTTAAAAATTCCCCAAAATTCCCCCAAATCCCCCTAAAATTCCCCGAACTTCCCCCAAATTCCCAAAATTCCCCCCAATTTTAAAAATCCCCAAAATTCCCAAAAATTCTCCCAAAATTCCAAAACAAAAAAATTCCTCCAAATTCCCCTAAAAATTCCCAAAATCCCCAAAAAATTCCCCCCCAAATATTCCCCAAAATTCCCAAAATATTCCTCAAGATTTACCAAAAAAATCCCAAATTTCCCCCCAAAATCCCCCCAAAATTCCCTGGAAAACTCCCAAATTCCCCAAATTCCCCAAAATTCCCCGAAATTCCCCGAAATTCCCGAAATTTGGGAATTCCCGCTGACCTTTTTGGGGTCCATGTTGAATTTCTTGCGGCCCATCCCCATCTTCCGGTTCCGCTGCAGCGTCTTGCTGCAATTTCGGGAATTTTGGGAATTTTGGGGTCAAAAATGGGAATTTTTGGGAATTTGGGGATCAAAAATGGGAATTTTTGGGAATTTGGGCAGAAAATTCAGGGGAATTTGGGGATTTTGGGGGTTAAAAATGGGGATTTTGGGGGGAATTTTTGGGAATCCTGGGGAATATTTTGGGAGTTTTTGGGGAATTTGGGACAAAATTTGGGGAATTTTGGGGTCAAAACTGGGAATTTTCGGGAATATTTTTGGGACTTTTGGGTTAAAAAATGGGAATTTTTGGGAATTTGGGGAAAATTTTGGGGAATTTGAGGGGAAATTTTGGAGATTTTTTTGGGACTATTTTGGGGCTATTTTAGGAATATTTTGGGGATAATTTGGACTATTTTTGGGAATATTTCTGGGGCTATTTTCGGGATGTTTCAGGAATTTTTTGGGAACATTTTGGGCTGTTTTGGGGAATATTTAGGGAGTAATTTTGGGGATTTTTTGGGGATATTTTGGGAATTGTTTGGGCCATTTTTGGGATATTTTTGGGAATATTTTGGGAGTATTTTAGGAATACTTTGGGCAATTTTTTGGAGTATTTTGGGAATTTTTTTTTTACATTTTGGGAATATTTTGGGGCTATTTTGGGATATTTTTGGGGAAATTTTGGGGATACTCTGGGCTATTTTGGGGATATTTTGGGGATATTTTGGGGATATTTTGGGAACATTTTGGGGTTATTTAGGGATATTTTTGAGGATATTTTGGGGATATCTTGGGCTATTTTTGGCAATATTTTGGGAATATTTTGGGGATACTTTGGGCTATTTTTGTGACTATTTCCGGGATATTTTGGGGATATTTTGGGAACATTTTGGGGATATTTTGGGGATATTTTGGGAACATTTTGGGGATATTTTGGGGATATTTTGGGGATATTTTGGGAACATTTTGGGGATATTTTGGGGCTATTTCAGGGATATTTTGGGGCTATTTCAGGGATATTTTGGGAATATTTGGGGAATATTTCAGGAACATTTTGGGGCTGTTTCGGGAACATTTTGGGGATATTTTGGGAACATTTTGGGGCTGTTTTGGGAACATTTTGGGAACATTTTGGGGATATTTCGGGAACATTTTGGGAACATTTTGGGAACATTTTGGGAACATTTTGGGGCTGTTTCGGGAACATTTTGGGAACATTTTGGGGCTATTTCAGGGATATTTTGGGAACATTTTGGGGCTGTTTCGGGAACATTTTGGGGACATTTCAGGGATATTTTGGGGCTGTTTCGGGAGCATGCCAGGGCGCCCCCACCTGCCCTCGCTGGCCTCCAGCCCCTCGACCTCGCTGATGGCCTCGCTGAGCTCGTCCCGCAGGCGCCGGATCTCCCCCAGCAGCTCCTGCTTCCGGCGCCGGATGGACTCCAGCTCCCGCCGCTCCTCGGGGGACAGGTCCGGGGGCACTGCGGGCACGGCGGGCACG